AACAAGAGCAAGACTCAGTCTCAAAAAAAAAAAAAAAAAAAAAAAAAAAAAGAAAGTCAAAGCCTGGGCCAGGTGGTTCAAGGTTGTAATTCTAGCACTTTGGGAGGCCAAGGCAAGTGGATCACTTGAGGTCAGGAGTTCAAGACCAGCCTGGCCAGCATGATAAAAACCCGTATCTACTAAAAATACAATTAGCCACAGTTCAGAGGATGGGGCCACAGCCACTGTGGGAATAAGGGAAGCAGGAAGGGGCCCAGGAAGTGAATGCACCCTGACCTCTCTCCACAGACCCTGGAGATGGAGTTTGCACTAGACTTATCCTATCACCCTTAGGTCTGGAAGACAGTTTTCTGCCGCTCTTGGGTCAAAGGCTCCTCTCCACCTCCCCTCGCCCACTCCCACCTTTCGTCCCTTCCCCATTGCCCAGGCTCTGGGAAAGTGACCCAGCGCTGCTGAAGCGGCCCTGTTACTGGGGCTCCTGGTGCTCTCTCGACCCCTCGTGGCCAGACTAGGACCTGCATGGAAAAATGCACCCACAAAGATCTACTGGAAAAGTGCTGATGATTCTCCACATGACCCCCCTCCGCCAGCCCCCACAGGGTCACTCTCAGCCTTCCTTCCCCAGCCCGGGGCCCTGGGAGACTGCCCTGTGCAAACTCTATCCGCAGGGCCGGTGGAGAGAGGTCAGGGTATTCACTTCCTGGGCCCCTCCCTGCATCCCGCACTCACAGTGGCTGTGGTTCCCCTCTGAACCGCAGCTCCTCTGGGAACTCCAGCTGTCCCTGCAGATGGGTAACAAACTCCCTGTCCCTTCTGCCCTAAGCTGGTGATGGCTTGGTGCCCACTTCGGCTGATCCCCTGGTGCCGCCCCGTCCTTGTGGCTTCCTCCACTCTGCCCATCTCATAAAAACGCTCCCAGTTAAACCCTTGCAGTGGTCACTTGCTTCCCTCCAGGATCCTGATCAAGTCTCAGCATAAATTTAGAGTGAGCCAGAGAGAGAAGGGGACCCTAAGCCCATCAATGAGCATTCAGAATATATATATATATATGTATTTGTTTTTTTGAGACAGAGTCTCTCTCTGTTGTCCAGGCTGGAGTGCAGTGGCGCAATCTCAGCTCACTGCAACCTCCCCCTCCCAGGTTCAAGCGATTCTCCTGCCTCAGCCTCCCCAGTAGCTGGGACTACAGGCTCACACCACCATGCCTGGCTAATTTTTGCATTTTTTTTTTAGTAGAGACAGAGTTTCACCATGTTGGCCAGGATGGTCTCAATCTCCTGACCTCGTGATCTGCCCGCCTCCACCTCCCAAAGTGTTGGGATTACAGGCGTGAGCCACTGTGTCTGCTCCGTTTATTTTAAACTATGACTTCATTTACAGGAATTTTTTTTTCTTTTTTTCAGAGTATCACTCTGTCGCCCAGGCTGGAGTGCAATGGCGAGATCTTGGCTCACTGCAACCTCCGCCTCCCAGGTTCAACCGATTCTCCTGCCTCAGCCTCCTGAGTAGCTGGGACTACAGGTTCGCAGCACCACGCCCGGTTAATTTTTGTATTTGTAGTAGAGATGGGGTTTCACCATGTTGGTCAAGCTGATCTCGATCGAACTGACCTCGTGATCGGCCCGCCTCAGCCTCTCAAAGTGCTGGGATTACAGGTGTGAGCCACCGCGCCCTGCTGGAATGTCTAGAACATAACTAAACTCTGGTGAAAAATGAAAGAACACAGGACCCGGCTTAGTGGCTCACACCTGTAATCCTAGCACTTTGTGGGGTATATCACTTGAGTCCAGGTATTTGAGACCAGCCTGGGCAACATGGGGATGCCCCATCACTATAAAAACATACAGAAGTTATTTTTATTTATTATTGATTTTTACAGGTGCATCCTTGTAGGTCCAGCTACTCAGGAGGCGAGGTGGGAAAATCACCTGAGCTCAGGGAGGTTGAGGCTGCACTGAGTCATGGTCGTCCCACTGTACTCCAGCCTGGGCAACAGAGTGAGACCCTGTATCAAAAAAAAAAAAAAAAAAAGAAAGGAAGAACAGGTTTGCTTCCGGGAGTGAAGTAGTCTGCATTGCCTAAAAAGGAATACAAAACAATATTCTGAGATGATGAAAATATTCTTACTGTTTTTGTTTGTTTTGAGATGGAGTTACACTGTCACCCAGGCTGGAGCACACTTGCATGATCTCGACTCACTGCAACCTCTGCCTCCCAGGTTCAAGCGATTCTCCTGCCTCAGCCTCCCGAGTAGCTGGGATTAGAGGCACCTGCCACCACACCTGGCTAGTTTCTGTATTTTCAGTAGAGACAGGATTTTGCCATGTTAGCCAGTTGGGTCTTGAACTCCTCATCTCAAGTGATCTGCCCCAGCCTTCCAGTGTGTTGGGATTATAGGTATGAGCCACCGCACCCAGCCTGTTCTCCAACTCCTGACCTCAAGTGATCTGCCCGCCTCAGCCTCCCAAAGTGCTGAGATTACAGGCATGCGCCACTGCACCCGGTTGATATCCTGTGTCTTGGTTTGGGTGTTTAATTACATGGTGTATCCAATTTTCTGGATTCCTTATATTGTTCCCTTAAGATCTAAACATTTTAATTAAAAAATTTTTAAGACTAATTGTTAATTAAATGTAATTTTTAATTACATTTAATTTTAAATCATGGCTAAATGATGATATTTTTGTTTTTTTGGTAGCGATGAGGATTGCACTTGTTGCCCAGACTGGTCTCAAACTCCTGGGCTCCAGTGATCCTCCCGCCTCAGCCTCCCAAAATGCTGGGATTACAGGCATGAGCCACAGAGCTGAGTGTTCTTTTTATCCCCTGCCCCCCACCCCCCCATTTCCCAGGCTGTAGTGCAGAAGTGTGATCTTGGCTCACGGCAACCTTTGCCTCCTGGGCTCAGGTGATCCTTCCACCTTTGTCTGCTAAGTAGCTGGGATCACAGGCACGTGCCACTCAAGCTGGCTAATTAAAATAATTTTTTTTTTTTTGGTAAAGACAGAGTCTTGCTATGGGGATTGATCTCAAACTCCCGGCCTCAAGTGATCTGCCTGCCTTGGCCTCCTAAAGTGCTGGGATCAGAGGCATGAACCACCATGCCTGGCCAACATTTTAATTTTAATTTAAAAATAAAAAAGGAGGCCGGGCATGGTGGCTCACGCCTGTAATCTCAGCACTTCGGGAGGCCGAGGCAGGTGGATCACCTGAGGTCAGGCGTTTGAGACCAGCCTGGCTAACATGACGAAACTCTGTCTCTACTGAAAATATAAAGAATTAGCTGGGCGTGGTGGTTGGCACCTGTAATCCCAGCTACTTAAGAGGCTGAGGCAGGAGAGATGACTTGAACCTGGGAGGCGAGATCACGGCATTGTACTCCAGCCTGGGCAACAAGAGCGAAACTCTGTTTCAAAAAACAGAAAGTCTGGGTGAGGTGGCTCACACCTGTAATCCCAGCACTTTGGGAAGCCTAGGCAGGAAGATCACTTGAGGTCGGGAGTTCAAGACCAGCCTAATCAAGGTGAAAACCTATCTCTGCTAAAAACACAAAAATTAGCCAGGTGTGGTGGCTCACGCCTGTAATCCTAGCACTTTGGGAGGCCAAAGCAGAAGGATCACTTGAGCCCAGGAGTTTGAGACCAGCCTGAACAACACAGTGAGACCCCTGTTGTAGAAAAAAATTTTAAAAACTGGCCAGGTGTGGTGGTGCATCCCTGTGGTCCCAGCAACTTGGGAGGCTGAGGTGGGAGGATTACTTGAACCTGGGAGGTTGAGGCTGCAGTGAACCATGATCGTGCCACTGCTCTCCAGACTGGGCAGCAGAGTGAAAGCCTGTTTCAAAAAAAAGAAACATAAAGGCCAGGCACCGTGGCTCACGCCTGTAATCCCAACACTTTGGGAGGCCGAGGTGGGCAGACAGCTTGAGCTTAGGCGTTTCAGACCAGCCTGGCCAACATGGCAAAAGCCCGTCTCTATTAAAAATACAAAAATTAGCCGTGGCACCTGCCTGTAATCCAAGCTACTCAGGAGGCCAAGGCAGGAAAATTGCTTGAACCTGGGAGGTGGAAATTGCAGTGAGCGGAGATTGTGTAACTGCCCTCCAGCCTGGGTAACAGAGTGCGACTCTGTCTGAAAAAAAAGCAAGAAGCTGGGCGAGGTGGCTCACGAATGTAAGCCCAGGATCCAAGGCGGGCGGATCACCTGAGGTTGGGAGTTTGAGACCAGCCTGACCAACATGGAGAAACTCCGTCTCTACTAAAAATACAAAATTAGTCGGGCGAGGTGGCGCATGCCTGTAATCCCAGCTACTCGGGAGGCTGAGGCAGAAGAATCGCTTGAACCCGGGAGGCAGAGGTTGCGGTGAGATCTCGCCATTGCACTCCAGCCTGGGCAACAAGAGCAAAACTCGGAAAAAGGAAGGAAGGAGGGAGGGAGGGAGGGAAGGAAGAAAGAGAAGAAAGGAAAAAGCAAGCAGGCACCATGAGTGACCACCTTGATTCAAAGAGGAGACAGTCACGGGGATGTCCCTAGCCTAAAGTCTGACCAAGAGGCAGGCTGTAACCGCAACCCTAGAGCTCCTTCTAGGGGTGGCCCTGACTTCGGAGTTGGGGACCTAACAGAACCCTTTATTCTCTCCCTTAGTGGGGAAGATGCAGAAGGTTAAGGACCAGAAGATGAATGACGGAGGCCTGGGGTCTCTAAGGGAGGAAATGGCTGAACCCAGGGAAGGTCAGTAGTGGGGGGCCTCCTCTTCCCGTATCTCAGGGCTTGTTAAAGTTGCGGGGTGTGGTTGGAGAGAGGGGACCTTCCAGCTGGGGGACATGGAAGGATTGGGGGGTGTTCCAGCAGCAGATGAGCTTCCCCCGGGGCTGGAGGCGTTGAGGGGGGTGAAGCCTGAAAGGGCTTAAGGGGCAGCGGCAGAGGTGGGGTTAATGGGGGCGGGCCTGGGAGGGGCGGGGCCTCGGCTGGCGGCTTGAGCCCGGGGACCGGGAGGAGTCGCCGCTGTTCTGCCCCAAAGGGGCGTCCGCTGGGTCCCTGCGCCGCCGTCGAGCCCGGACAAGGACGCAGCAGAGAGGCGCGGTCGCCCGCCCCGTCCAGCCGCCGTGCGCAGGTAAGAGCCGGGCCCTCCCCGGCCGCCCGCGGGGCCGCGGGGTCTCACTAGGTTGCCCTGCTCGTGACGGGACCGCTCCTCCCCGCCCCTTCGGGGGCTGCTTCAGTCTCCCGCGCCGTCTCGGTGCCCGCCCCCTCTGTTGCTCTGCTCGGTTCTGCGTCTGTCTCCAGGTCCCGCCTGAGGTCTCTGAGGTCTCTGTGTCTGTGGTCCCTCTGCCTCTGGACCTGTCTCTCCTTCTGTGTCTCTGGATGTCTCTGTCTCTTGATCTCTGCGTCTCTGTCTCCGTCTGTCTCTGTTTCTGGGTGCCACCTCCCCCTGCCCCTGCCTCTGCCTGTCCCGCGTCTGTTGTGGCACCTCTGTGGATCTCTCTGCCTCAGTCCGTCTCTCCTTGTCTCTGTGTGTCTCTTTGCTGGCTCCCTTCCTGTCTCTCCGTCTCTCTCTATTGCCCTGTCTCTGTCTCTCCGTCTCTTATAACCCTGTTTTGGCACCTTCACCTCTGTCGTTTCTCCTTCCAAATCCTCTGGCACCCCGGAACTTTCCTCTGGGCTGGGAAGCTGCTTGGGAGTCGGGGTTAGGGGGCAGGAGGCTTGTGACTTGGGGCAGGCGGACTCTGACCCCATGGCCCACTTCAGGGAGCCACCCCACTGCCCCTGAGGTCGCACCCACCCCGCCCGCCAATTTCAGGAATTCCTGGCTGGGGGGTGCACTTCCTCCCCTACTTCCTCTCTTCCAGGATTTGGCTGGGTCACCGTTAACTCTTTCCTGCTTCCGCCTCACTCTCCCCCCTGAAACTGGACAACCTGTCCTCCCAAACTAGGCTGAGGAACAGCTCTAGGAATATCTGTGACACATGTTGTGGGATGTGCGTGCGTGCTCGGGCTGGATGCGCATTGGGGAATTTGGTGCAGAAATTGAGAGGATGGGGCCACACCCCCCAATGCCCCCTCCAAAGCCCACCATCAGCCCTCCTCCTCCTGAACCCACAAAAAAAGGCACCCGCCCCCAGCTCTGTCTCTGGAGATGAACTTGACTTCGGGTTTGGGTGAGGATGGGGAGGTTTTCTTCTCTGGGGGAATCCCAGCAGAAGAGGATGAGCCACCCATGGGGGCTCCTCGAACTCTGGGAAATCATAGGGTCAAGAACCTTGAACGAGAGCATCTTTGAATGGAAGGGCCCAGATGGAAGAAAGATCAGAGGGGAGGCCTCGGAATTCCAGATCCTTCCAATCAAAGATCCTCGGGATACTGCAGTCCTTCAATCCAAAAAGAGGAGTGCTGAAATCTTGGCACTTTTCAGTGCTGGCAGCTGAGGGCTGGAAAGGGTTTGTGGAGCCATTTAGGTCAACAACCCCCACCCCGCTCCCATTTTATAGATGGGGAAACTGAGGCCCAAAAGCAGATGTCTCCACAGTGAGTCAGTGCCAGGCTGGAGGGTTGGGACTCCAGTTTTCAACTGAAGCCCAAATCCAGAGAGCTGGCTTCTTCTGCTACCACTAAGTCGGATCAATTTTGGGAAAGAGGTCTCAATGAGGAGGGAGAGACGCCAGGGTGAGTAAAAATGGCTGGAATCCAAAAGGGAGGGTTTTAGAAGCAGAGGAGAGAAAATATTTCTAAAACCATGGTGGGGAGGGAGAGGGGCAAGAGTTGGTTTGGGTGGAAGGGGTGGAGTTTTGGGAAGAGAGGGAGGGAGGTGGAGGGTAGGAAGTGGAGGGGAAGCGGGATTAACTCCAGCCTCAGTCTCCTGACCCTCCGCCTGGAGCCCACCGTTCCCTCGGGGACAGGGCCTATAATTTGGTTTGTGTCTAGACAAATAATAACTCAGCTGGTGTGAGCAGGGAGGGCTGAGGCTAGGCCCGCTAGGGAAAGGGTAGAGAGGCGGCCCGGATGCCTCCTGTGCCCCGCAGGTGGTGAGAATTTAGGGGCCAGGTGGAGGCGGTAACTAACACGCCCTTCTCTTCCCTCCATGAAGCCACAGTTCCTTAGAATTCTGCACAGTCTCAGAAATCAGCTGCTGGAATGTTCAAAAGCAGACAAGAAAAGGCGGGGGGAAGAAAGGGAAGTGGGGCTCACCGTATTTAGTGTACGTTCCCATTTCTGTAAAAGAGAAAAGGGAAATACGTATTCCTGTTTGCCGGGGAAAGATAAAAATCACCGAGGGTGTAATAATAGATTATGAAAGTCATAGAACGCTTAAAAAAATCATAGCGCGTTCTAACAATAGAACTTTCGAATCTTGGAATGTGAGACTTCTAGAATATTGGAAACTTAGAAGGGTAGGTGCTTACAAAGCCACGATGTAATAAATAGAATGAAAGAAGAGTAACGCTCCAGGATGTTATAATAGAACATTCAACTGCGGAGTGATCTAAGGATAGAACCTGAAGATCGCAGAACCGTGGGGACCCAGAACGTCAGAGAGGCAGTCTAAGGACTGGTGTCCCTGATGGGCAGTGTGGGTGTGGGGGGCACAGAGACCCTCTCGGTCAAAATGGGGAAACTGAGGTGCAGTGGGGCAGCTAGGGTGGCCCGGCTGCCCCCTGGCTTCCGCTGGCCGCCAGGGCACCAGGTGGGGAGCGAGGAGTGGTGATCACATTTCGTCCCTAATGAGCAGACCGGAGCTGGCTGGTCCCCTGGGGCTGCCGGGGGAACTCGGGGGGAGCAGGAGCCCACAGAGGAGGAAAAGGGGGAGGTGAGATAGCTTGGTGGCAACGGCAACGGGGACAGGGATGAGGCCTGGGAGTGCTGGGGGATGCGGGAGGCTGTGGTACTCCTCCCTCTAGTCCTCGAAACCCTCCAAGTTTTTCGGCTTTGCTGGGTTTTGGGGTGGCTGACAGGATGCAGCAGTTGAGGCTGCTAACAGGGGGGGCTGGGTCTGCCTAGTCTTTCTTGTCCCCCATTATGGCTCCACTCTTGGGTGTATTTCCCCCCGACCCTCTGGAAGGGGCCACAGGGACCCAAGAAGTGGGGGCCTGTGGGACAGACAGGGGGAGCTTCTTGTGGGCTGGGAGATTTGGGGGTTCACCTCCTCAACAGAGCCCTAAGTAAGGGGCAGAACTTAGATCCCAACCAAAGAGGGTCTTGGAAGGGAACGGGGTTAAGGAGATCAGGTGATGGAAGGTCGCTTGCTTTCTTGGTGCAGAGAAGGTCCGTATCTTCCAGTAGGTTCTCAGAGGGGCCAGACAGGCTCAGAAAGACTTGAGAAAAATTACAGAACTTCAGAGAGTGAAGAGAAAACCTCAGGGAAGGGAAGCTGTTTAGTTAAGAGTGACACGAGGTTTGCCCCAACTTGAGACGTCAAGTGACTTAGACAACTGCCTTGCTGCTATGGGCCTCAGTTTCCCCATGTGTACCAAGAAGGGGTCAGAAATAGTCTCGCAGTCCCAGCTGTCACATATACGTTGGCTGCACTGTAGCATTCTGAGTCTGATGTTCCGTGCTGACTTTTGGGGTTTCCGTGGTGGGCAGATCTCACGTGGGGGAGAAGAGAGGGCTGTCTGGGCACCCCTCCCCCCATATCCACATACCCAAGATGCCATCAGGTTGGGGAGGAGGGGTGGGAGGAAGGAGGGCCAAGAGCTGGACCGGTTCCCCCTCAAGGAAATTAGCAATGGGAAGTGCGTTTCCGCCTCTGGCTGCCGGAAACGTCTCCTGCCCGTGTACCCGAGTTAGGTCAGCAGAGCCCTGGGGGTCGACAGAAAGTGGGGCAAAGGGGACTTCCAGCCCTCAGCTGGTGCCTCCTGCCATGAAGAACTGGTTCATTTCTTGTCTCAGCCCCCTAGTCCCCGTGGAATAATAATAACTCTTCAAACTGCACATTATGGAGATGATAATCGCATTCCAGCAAGGATGTTGCAGTCTGTGCTCTGATGGGTATAAAGGTGGTGCCCCCTTTTACAGAAGGGGAAACTGAGGCTCCTGGAGAAGTAATTCTCTCAATGTCACAGGAGGAAGGCAGAGACTAGGGGCAGAGGGATGGGGAGAGAGAGGGCAGAGGAGGGGGGAGGGAGGTATTTTGAGTGACTTGGTGGGGGTAGGAGGTTTCAGGTGGAAGGGCGGGAGGGGACGGCACTGTTCCAGCCCAGGAGTACGCCCCCCGCCCATCCCAGCTCCACAGGACCCACAAGCTTCTGCCCAGGAGTCTGGGGTGGGGGCGGCAGCTCCGCAGCTGAGGACCCTACAGGGGGCAGGACACACTGAGAAGGACTCAGCCCTGACCTTTCAAAGTCAATTAAGAAGCGGATAGATCCTGCCCTTTCCAGCTCTCCGCTGCCCACCTCCTCCCCTGGGAACAAACTCCTTCCCCCTCCTCCTCAAACCCTAGTTTGAGCCTGGGATGGGAGGGGGCAGCCTCATGGCCAGATAATACATTTTTTTTTTTTTTGAGATGGAGTTGCCCAGGTTGGGGTACAACGGTGCAATCTTGGCTTACGGCAACCTCCACCTCCCGGGTTCAAGAGATTCTCCTGCCTTAGCCTCCCGAGTAGCTGAGATTACAGGCATGAGCCACCATGCTCAGCTAATGTTTGTATTTTTAGTAGAGACGGGGTTTCTGCATGTTGGTCAGGCTCGTCTCGAACTCCCAACCTTAGGTGATCCGCCTGCCTTGGCCTCCCAAACTGCTAGGATTACAGGCGTGAGCTACCATGCCTGGCTGAGAATACATGTTTTCTACTCCATACCTCTGGCCTCTGCAAAGCTTCTGGAATGATTTCTGTCATTGGCAAATGGCCCTGTGTTCCCTGACCATGACCTTGGTAATTTATTGAGCATCTACTGGATGCTGGGCCTGTCCTGGGTGCTGGGGTTACAGCAGTCAACAAGACACACAAAGTCTCTGCCCTCCTGGAACACCTATTCTAGACAGATAGACAGACACAAACAAGACACAGGTGATGTGAGGAGAGGGTCTTGGGCCAGGGGAGATTTGGGGACTGGATGGGGAGGGACTCCCTGAGGAAGTGAAGGAGGGAACGGAGCTATTCAGACCATCTGAAGGAAGAGCAGTGGCTCACGCCTGTAATCCTAGCACTTTGGGAGGCCAAGGTGGGTGGATCACTTGAGGCCGGGAGTTCGAGACCAGCCTGGCCAACATGGTGAAACCCAGTCTCTACAAAAAATACAAAAATTTGCTGGGCATGGTGGCACATGCCTGTATTCCCAGCTACTCTGGACACTGAGGTGAGAGAATTGCTTGAACTGGGACCCGGGAGGTGGAGGTTGCAGTGAGCTGAGATTGTGCCACTGCACTCCAGCCTGGGCTACAGAGCGAGACTCCATCTCAAAATAAATAAATAAAGAAAGAAAATAATACACATCAAAATGCCTGGAATGGGATCTGCTAAGTAGTAGGGCTCAGTTAATGTTTATTGTTATTATCCTTGTTGACAAGAATGGGATTCCTGGGTAAGGAGTGGGAGGCTGGCCCCAGCCCTGGTCCTATTGCTGCCATGCTGTGCATCCTTAGGGAGGTGGCTCAACCTCTCTGGGCCCCTTCTCTCTGTGACACGATAGAGTTAGACTAGTGTGGCATTTCCTGAAGCATGATATGATACCTGTGCCAATTTTACAGGGCTTCTGCAAGAAAGTGCTAAAATCTGAGTTGGGTCCCTTTTTTTTTTTTTGGACAGGGTCTCATACTGTTGCCAAGCTGGAGGGCAGTAGTGCAGTCATAGCTCACTGCAGCCTGATTCTCCTGGGCTCAAGTGATCCTGCCACATCAGCCTCCCCAGTAGCTGGGACTACAGTTGTGTACCACCACACCTGGCTAATATTTTTATTTTTATTTATTGACTTAGTTTTGAGATGGAGTCTCGCTCTGTCACCTAGGCTGGAGTGCAGTGGCTCAATCTTGGCTCACTGCAACCTCTGCCTCCCGGGTTTAAGCGAGTCTCCTGCCTCAGCCTCCCGAGTAGCTGGGACTACAGGTGCATGCCACCACGCCTGGCTAATTTTTTTGTATCTTTAGTAGAGACGGGGTTTCGCCGGGGTAGCCAGGATGGTCTTGATCTTCTGACCTCCTGATCTGCCCGCCTTAGCCTCCCAAAGTGCTGGGATTACCGGTGTGAGCCACTGCCCCCAGCCTATTTTTATTTTTTGTAGAGACTAGGTCTCACTGGATTGCCCAGGCTGGTCTTGAACTCCTAGGTTCAAGCAATCCTTCCACCTTGGCCTCCCAAAGTATTGAGATTACGGGCGTGAGCCACTGCACCCGGCCTGAGTTGGGTCTTTATTCTAACATCTATTGGGGAAAAATACGCCTAGCACCTCAAATCCGTGTTATCAGAGAGTGGTTGCTTAGGATGGGGCTCAGACATTGTTGGGGTGTCCACTCTCTGCAGTCCACAGCGATTACGGTGAGGGGTGTGGGGAGAAGGTAGGAGTGTCCATGACTCCCTCACTGCTGTCCTCTCTCCCCACAGGCACTGCAAAGTCAGCGTTGAAGGGACTTCATCCAATCCCTCAGCCCCCCCACACAGGGACCAGTCTGGAGTCCCTCCCCTGCTCCCATTCAAATTTCCTTCTGTCAAAAACTCACTTCCGATCTAGACCTTACTCACCTCCTTCCTGTTTCCTAAGACTTCTTCCTGTAGTCTCCAGACTGAGCCTTACATCTTTGTTTTATCCTGCGCCAGACACCTCCTTTTCCAGAACCTTCTCCATACTGGTTATCTTACTTACCTGGGGTCCTAAGAAATGCCAGCACTCCCACCCGCATTGCCTGGACTTTCCAACACTCCCTGACTGCCCTGTGTGTCCTGTCTCAACACTGTCCCATGTATTTCCTGTGTCTTCTAGAACATTCCCCCACCATTATTCCTTCAATACTACGGCAGTTAGGAACGTACTTCCTAACTGCCCTGCAAACATCTCTTTCTTGCTGTTGCCCAGTGATGCTCTCGTCTTCTCCATAAACACTCCCCAAGACCAATTTTTGTGTCACCCCCATACTCCCTCATTGACACCCTGATTGACTCTATACATAACCTCCTTGACAAACCTCTTTATTCATCTCACCATCGTCCTGAGTTCCCTCCGGTCATAACGCCATCCCTCCTCCAGCTTTTCCCTCTCAAGCTCTGCCCTTCCCGGCTCAGCCTATCTGACCTCACCTCTCTTCCCTGCCATGTTCCCCTGAGCCTCCAAGGAAGGGGCTCAGGGGGCCCCATGGCCTCCCGCTCCCCGTGGCCCCACAGCCCCCGTGGGCCAGGGGAAGTGCCCCAGAAGCCGAAGTGCCCACAATGGGCAACCAGACGTGGGAGGGCTGCCACGTGGACTCGCGCGTGGACCACCTCTTCCCGCCATCCCTCTACATCTTCGTCATCGGCGTGGGGCTGCCCACCAACTGCCTGGCTCTGTGGGCGGCCTACCGCCAGGTGCAGCAGCGCAACGAGCTGGGCGTGTACCTGATGAACCTCAGCATCGCCGACCTGCTGTACATCTGCACGCTGCCGCTGTGGGTCGACTACTTCCTGCACCACGACAACTGGATCCACGGCCCCGGGTCCTGCAAGCTCTTCGGCTTCATCTTCTACACCAACATCTACATCAGCATCGCCTTCCTGTGCTGCATCTCGGTGGACCGCTACCTGGCCGTGGCGCACCCACTGCGCTTCGCCCGCCTGCGCCGCGTCAAGACGGCCGTGGCCGTGAGCTCCGTGGTCTGGGCCACCGAGCTGGGCGCCAACTCGGCGCCCCTGTTCCATGACGAGCTCTTCCGAGACCGCTACAACCACACCTTCTGCTTTGAGAAGTTCCCCATGGAGGGCTGGGTGGCCTGGATGAACCTCTACCGGGTCTTCGTGGGGTTCCTCTTTCCGTGGGCGCTCATGCTGCTGTCGTACCGGGGCATCCTGCGGGCCGTGCGGGGCAGCGTGTCCACCGAGCGCCAGGAGAAGGCCAAGATCAAGCGGCTGGCCCTCAGCCTCATCGCCATCGTGCTGGTCTGCTTCGCGCCCTATCACGTGCTGCTGCTGTCCCGCAGCGCCATCTATCTGGGCCGCCCCTGGGACTGTGGCTTTGAGGAGCGTGTCTTTTCTGCCTACCACAGCTCGCTGGCTTTCACCAGCCTCAACTGTGTGGCGGACCCCATCCTCTACTGCCTGGTCAACGAGGGCGCCCGCAGCGACGTGGCCAAGGCTCTGCACAACCTGCTCCGCTTTCTGGCCAGCGACAAGCCCCAGGAGATGGCCAATGCGTCGCTCACCCTGGAGACCCCACTCACCTCCAAGAGGAACAGCACAGCCAAGGCCATGGCTGGCAGCTGGGCGGCCACTCCGCCCTCCCAGGGGGACCAGGTGCAGCTGAAGACGCTGCCGCCAGCACAGTGAACCCCGCCTGGCACAGAAGCCCCGGTCCTCCACTCTCATCCCACAGTCCCTTCTCTTCTGGTCTGGTGTATGCAAATTGAATGAAAACCAGCTATGTTAATATTCATAAGAATACCAGAACGTAGGAAGAGTGAGGTTGGTATATCACTGGTCAACCTTCATGGTCCCAGATCCCATCAGTTTGGTGGTCAGGGAGGGCCTCCTGGAGGAGGAGATGAGTAAATATTTATTTTGGCGACATGGTCTCGCTGTGTCGCCCAGGCTGGAGGGCAGCAGTGCAATCGTGGCTCACTGCAGCCTCCACCTCCTGAGCTCCAGCAATCCTCCCACATCAGCCTCCCGAGTAGCTGGGACCACCAGTACATGCCACCATGGCTGGCTAATTTTTGTACTTCTTGTAGAGATGGAGTCTCACTATGTTTCCCAGGCTGGTCTTAAACTCCTGGGCTCAAGAGATCCTCCTGCCTCAGCCTCCCAAAGTACAGATGTGAGCCATCATGCCCGGCCAGATAAATTAAGTCAAATATTTGGTCTCCAGAAAATAAAGACAAATAGAGAAGGTTAGATTTGTTTTTTTTCCAACAAGTGGATAAAAGTCTGTGACTCAGGGGGAAAGAGAAGTGCAGGAAACAGAGGCATGTTTGCAAAGCCCCTGGTCATACAGGGGAGGGAACATAAGACCGCAATTCTAAGTTTTTCTAGATCAACAGCGATCTCCAAGTCAGGTCTGAGGATGAAGAGGGAGAATGTCAGAATCTGAGTCCAGGGCAATCAGGGCAGATGGCCTGGTGGAATGATGTGGGAAGGTTTGGGAGGAAGGTTTGGGACAAGAGGAAAGGGTATTTAACCGTCATTCAACAGAGGTTTATGTAGGGCGTTGTGCTGGTGGCCCTGGGGATAGAGCAGGGACTGAGACAGGCTGGCCTTGCCTTCACAGGGCTCACCGTACACAAGTAAATAAAAAAAAGTCATGGTTGGAATTGCTAAGTGTGAGGGGATATTGTTCTATGCAAAGCCAGTTGAGTGGATAGAGGATGATTGGAGTCTGATCTAAATGAGGAGGGCTTGCTGAGGTGGCTTTCCAGCAGACTTGAAGGAGGTGTGGCACTCAGCCCTGTGGCTGCTGTGGGAAGAGCATTTCAGGCAGAGGGAACTGCAGGTGCAAGGGCGCTGGGGTTAGAGAGTGTATGAAATTCAGGCCGGCAAGGTGGCTCACACCTGTAATTCTAGCACTTTGGGAGGCTAAGGCGGGTGGATCACCTGGGGTCAGGAGTTTAAGACCAGCCTGGCCAACATGGTGAAACCCCATGTCTACTAAAGACACAAAATGCTAAAAAAAAATTAGCCAAACGTGGCGGGCGCCTGTAATCCCAGCTACTTGAGAGGCTGAGGCAGGAGAATCGCTTGAACCCAGGAGGTGGAGGTTGCAGTGAGCCGAGATTGTGCCATTGCACTCCAGCCTGGGCGAAAGGAGTGAAACTCTGCCTCCAAATAATAATAATATAAGACAGTGTCTGAATTTTCTTTTTTTCTTCTATTTATTTTTTTGAGTCAGTGTCTCACTCTGTCGCCCAGGCTGGAGTGCAATGGCACTATCTTGACTCACTGCAACGTCTGCCTCCCGGGTTCAAGTAATTCTCCTGTCTCAGCCTCCCAAGTAGCTGGGATTACAGGCACGCGCCACCACGCCTGGCTACTTTGTTTTGTATTTTCAGTAGAGATGGGGTTTCACCATGTTGACCAGGCTGGTCTCTTTGGCCAGGCTGGTCTCGAACTCCTGATCTTGTGATATGCCCGCCTCAGCCTCCCAAAGTGCTGGGATTACAGCGTGAGCCACGTGCCCAGCCAAGTGTCTGAATGTGGAAGGATAGCAGGTGTGGCAGTGTGGCTGGAGCAGGGGTGGGGAGGACAACAGGAAAGGGAAAATGAGACAGGAGAGGAGACAGCAGGTCATGTGGGGCCATGTAAGTCCCGATGAGGACTCTGCCTTTTAATCTGAGACGACTGGGAGCTATGAGGGGGTTCTCAGTAGAGGATGAAAGCGATTTGACTTAAGTATTCACAGTATCCCACCGGCTGTTGAGTGGGAAGTAGAATGTGGGAGATAGGCTGGGTACGGTGGCTCCAGTCTGTAATCCCAGCACTTTGGGAGTCTGAGGCAGGAGGATCACTTGAGGCCAGGACTTTGGGACCACTGTGGGCAACATAGGGAGACCCCGTTTCTACAAAAAACTTAAAAATTAGCTGGGCATGGTGGCATGTGCCTGCAGTCCCAGCTACTTGGGAGGCTGAGACGTGGGGTTCCCTTGAACCAGGAGGTGGAGGCTGCGATGAGCAGTGATTGCGCCACTGTACTCCAGCCTGGGTGACAGAGCAAGGCCCTGTCTCAAAATAAAAAAGGAGTATGGGAGACAAGGATAGAAGCCAGGAGCCCCGTGAGGAGGTGGCTGCGGTCGTCTAAGAGGGAGGTGCTGGCAGTTGGGGCGGGGGG